GATTTTTACAAGTGGAATATTCTTATTATTCTTACCATCAGCAGAACATAAGCAGATGAGAAGAGCAGAGATTATCCAGAAATGTGAAGAGAAGGCCATGACCAGATTGTACCCCGGCAGCGGTGTACGCCAGCGATGAATGACACAAAATGCTGAAATTCAGCTATTGTAACTTGGAAACGGCCACACACACACGTGTCTCTCAAAGTTCAGCACATAAAGTGACTGACTCCGCTGGATCGGCTCCTCCTAAGCGCACACACCCATTGTCAGGGTGTACTGAACTGTCACAGGTGGCAGGATTAGCAGAGATAAGAGGAGCGAGCATGTCCATGATACATTCATTGCACATACACTCCCCTATGTTCCTTTACACTACAGGTGCGGTGATCAGTCAGCCCAGAGGATGAAGGCGAGTAATGATTCCTAAAGCAAGGGCGTCCACTTTGTGTCACTTATCCGTTATAACTCTTTCCTTGAAAATCTTCAGTCTTTACATCCGCAATCACTGATTTATTTTTTTGTCACTTTTTGATTTGATATGGTGAGCTTGTTGGCAAACAGTTGCTAGTTACACACCTATGCAATGTAATAATCGCAGTTGCATTGCCATTGCTAGGTGCTTTGCTTGGAGATTTATTCATTTTTATTGAAGTTGACAAGATCTGTACATAAAGTGTCAAAAGCATACAGAGGCTATTGTACACCAATTGTGGTTTGTATTAATATGATCAAACAATACAGCAGTGGTGGTTGCAGACACACTCTCTACTCAGTGCACTGTTCTAGTTGCTGATTATTTCATCTTTTTCATTTTCAAAGAGCGGCTACAGGTAGTGATTACGTAACAGGAAAGTGTTCATATGAATGCTTGTCCTCAGCGATTTCTATTTTTTATCTTACACTGTGAGTTTATTAGGTTTGAATGTGTTGTAACTCTGTTATGCTGTTCATTCTGTACACATATCTATCACACTTCTGTCCATCCTGATAGAGGATCCTCCTCTGTTGCTCTCCCTAAGGTCTCTCCCTCTTTTCTCCCTGTTAAATAGTTTTTTGGGGGAGTTGTTCCTGCTCTGATGTGAGGGTCCTGGGACAGCTGATGTCACATGTGTACAGATTGTAAAGCCCTCTGAGGCTAATTTGTAATTTGGGATGTTGGGCTATACAAAATAAATTGAATTGAATTGAATCAGAGCTCAGAGATAACAGCTGCATTGTAATGTCGCGTAGATCCAATATTAATACAGACTGACATAACTAGCCTCTGGGTAGGAATTTACATTTTCCATTTGAAAACAGAGCAAAAAAATCAGTGTGACACCTGTGTATTTCCATTGACCTCCAGAGCAATAAAGCCATTTACAAAACGATGACCGTGAAATGCCGCGAATACTTCATGATGAGCAGAATGCGTGGGGGAGTTCCCCACACACATATCAATTGACTCATGAGACAAAAATACGTGTTCTTTTACAATAACAATTTAGAGCAATAGTAATCTGATTGATTATTGGTTGTGATGAAAATCTTATAGTAGTTCAGTTTTCACATCCAAATGGAAAAGTTAAATTCAGTTACAATAATCCCGTACTGGCCTTTAGTGGGACCAAGACCAACTTCAGGATTCCAACCAATAGCACCATGTGTCCATATCTTGGCTGATTATTGTGGTCTGGCCCACAAACATTTTTTATTTTTATTTGAAACTGATATGTTGCTGATTAATGCATTCAATGCTTCAATTATCCTTTTTTTCTTATTTTACATCAACGCTAAATAACAGTATTTTATTGTCATAAATAAAGGTTATCGGTGTCAGCCCCTTACAGTACTGTAGCTTTTATTTCATGGCTCTGTAACTTTATAATTCCAATAACTCTACCAGAGAGAATACCATTTTTATGTAATTTGGTACCAATTATAAGGAAAGTGTATCTAAATAGTACAGTCCCAGTAAAGTAGTTCCAATTTCATTGCTTTTTAAAAAGTTGTATGTATATATGTGCTCTGAATGCAGGACTGCATTGAAGTATTGCTACTTACTTTAGTAAAGTTACTTTAGTAAAGTATCTGAATACTTCTACCGTTAACATTTATATTAACTGTATTGTATTGTAACAGATACCGAATGCTATGAAAATGTTAACATTAAACAATATCTAAACTATCCATCTTGCTGACCTTTATTCCGTATGAGGTAATAATGAACATTGTATCATCACAGTGACGGGACAGTTTGACGATGTGCTCTATAGGTTTTCGTTTCCCAGGAAAGTCAACGACACGCCGCTCTGTGCTGTCGGATCGGGACTAAGGCAGTTTAGGGCCCCGAGATAAAAGGCGCACAACAGATGTTGTAAAGCAGTAGAAAAAAAACAATTGCACCTGTACACTCCCTCCCAACTCTGCACGCCATCTCCGGCTATTGTTATTATCGTCAACACACGCCGAGTGTCATGGCAAAGCTGCTCCTTCATCTGGGAGGAGCAATTTTTCCCTGTGGTCATATGTTCACTGTTGATGAGTTATCATATAAATAATGAGTAACAGATGGAAACTTTACACGCAAAATCAAAAGCACGTCCTCGGCAGCAGAGTGAGCTGTCCATGCTCAGACCTTGCATCCCAGATCAGTTGCTGCACAGTGAACTCTTGCCAGTTGCCATAAACAAATCGTATATTCTTAACTTTATGTCTAGCTTATTGTTATACAACTTTATTTTATGTATAGTATATAGCTAGAATACAAGTCACTATAACGTAATATTGTGTTATAAAGTTAAAAGTAGGCTGCTGCACCTAGATTTGGTATCAGTGCAGAAACTCAGGTATTGTTTCTCCACTAGTTTGAAAAGCTTTTTAAATGACCTCTATCCCAGGGTGCAACACTGACTTTTGGTTGCCATCTTTAGTCAGTTTACATTTTGAGCAGTTAAGATACTGTGCAGTTATACGTCAGCTTGATAATAAAAATGTAACATAGAAGAATAAAAGCTTTATTACAGCATACACACACTTATTTGTAGTTGTGTGTTTTATCTGATACTTTAGTGTTATCGGTTAACGTGTCCATGCTCAAGTCCTGGTATGAATAAATAGCAGTCGTGCCGATGTTGTCATGATCTTCACAGATCCCTCACATATGAATCCTCCTCTACACAGTCGCCAATGATTGCTAACTCTGACAACAACAGTGGCAGACACATTCAATATTGGTCTCAGTAATAAGGTAGATTATGATTTTGCAGTAAAAGTTTTTTCCTTTGGGCATGGACATTAAAAAAGAGAAAAAGCTCCCTTTCACCTCTTAATGAGAGTGACATTTAGTCCTGGACTCCTTCGTAGAGGGGTGGACCATCTGCAGCTTAACACAGGCAACATGAAGGAGTTGGTGGTGGATTTTGGCCGGAGGAAAACACCAACGACCGCTCCGATGTGGACTCTGCAGGACTACAGACAGGGGACACCTGGACAGACAGGAGGATGCTGCACATGCCACGGAGCATCCTGGAGCACGGTTCCCACCCTCTCCACCATGTGCCGCTCACACACAGGAGCACCAGCGGCAGCAAGTCTCTGCTCCTTTTAGGTCTCTTTCCACTCTCGTGGATTACGAGACTCAGGAGGTAGAACGGTCGTACACTAATCAGAAGGTCGGTGGTTCGATCCCTGCAGTCCATTAACAATTTACCATAATAATCAAATTTGATATAATACATGGTTATCTATATGACCTTTCTAATGCATGTATGTACTGTTTAACCTGTTTCTATTTTGGATTAGCAACTTATCACTCAGTTACATTTCTTTTGTACAGTGGGTCTGCACCTCATTAATCTTTTTTATTTGAATTGATTTTGTACTTGTCCTCTATATATTTAAACGCCTTCTACTTTGTATTGCAACTGCTGCACAACAATTCCCCTCGAGGTAAATAAAGTGTAATCTTTCATCCTATTATCAGCAGGTCGATCGCTGAAAAGGGATTTTAATGAGGCCGTGGAAAAATCCAGTCACGACAAACCATTCATTCATTCAAGACAAAGAGTCAAACACTTATCATTTAACATGCCTATGCATACTTTAAAAGAGTATATGGAATAACATTTGTATTCGTTTGATTATTGTTTATATTTTAGTCATGTTAAGTCTTCCACACTAAAGATATATCCTTTCTATTGAAAACAGGAGCTCTCTGATCAGCAGGAAGAAACAAGTACTCAGCTTTGGTACCCGGCCTCCAGTCAGAGCTCAGCTTCCTTCTTCTAGCAGCACAGGGGAAACCCCTCAATGGCTTCTGCTGCCATCGCAGTGCAAGTCTGCAGGTGAACCCGAAACCCAGACACCCTTTCTGTTTGAATTTGATCTTTTTTTTCTGTACTTTATAGCGATTGTGGCAAAAGGGTTACAGACTAGTAATCAATATCATTTTATAGTGGCTTTGGCCACACAACTGAATTACAGTTAATCTCTCCTCAGCCTCACTGTTCCACTACTTGTAGCAAAACAATACTGATGGAAACATCTTGATTTGGCAAAAAGTATTTCCAAGAGACTCGAGCTGAAACCTTGAATTGATTAGTCAATTGACATAAAGTTGATCAGCAAGTCTTTTGATAATGGAATTATCATTTCAATAATTTTATAAGCAGAAATGCAAAAGAACAGCTCACAGATCCATGGCTCTGTAAATGGGAATATTGCTGTGTTTCTGTGATAGTAAAATGTAAATCTTTTGAATATTGTACTGAGAATCTGTTTTATTTCACTTTTTTTCTGACATTTTATAATCCAAACAAAAGAAAACAATCTACAGATCAATCAACAGTCACTGTAATTATAAACTTTATATTTCTCAAACCGTCTGATTACCTGTATTCATCCTCCGTCTGAAACGCTCCGTTTTAACGCCTGTCTCTTTAAGACCCGTCCTGAAAAACCCAAGTCTGGAATCTGACTTTCTACAAAATAAGAACCTTTAACAAAATGAGCCAAACTTTTCAATGCATCAGTGTTTAATGTTGTCTTAATAAAAGTAGCTTAACAGGAACTTTACTTTGAACGAGTAAGTAAACGAGACGATGAACCAGACATTCGTTGCCAAGTTTCAATATTCCAGATTCTCTGGTTCGATATTCAGCCCAGTAACCTGAGAGACAAATGATGACTAAACAACCCATAAATATAATGTACAATCATAGAATGGAGACACAACTAAAGCATACTGCACATTTGTTTTGATATATTTTGGCCTATTTACGCATCAACAGTTTCAGTGGCAGCATAAAAGGGTTGAGGGCGGGGCAGAGTCCCATCTCATCCGAGTCCCCCGATTGGCCCGATGCGTTAGTGCTCCCTGACGATTGGCTCTCAGCTTCATTAGGCTGCAGTTTGTTCACTCCGCAGGCTGTGACGTCACTACCATCAGCAGTCCGAGCAGCTCTCGGCTGACGGTTTGTTCTTTTGCCGTCTCGAGCACAGAGTCCATCCTTCAGCTCTTTAAACTTTTCTCCCGCCATCTTGGAGTTAGCGGTGGATGAGAGAAATTGGTACACCTGAAGACAACGCAAAATACAAAAATGAACAAACTTGTACAAATACCTTTGCAAGTTTGGTACGCACCAGGTCTGCGCCGGTACACACTGTACTTAAAGGGCGACTCCGTTCCTAAAGGTTAAAATTCTTTATTTATCTCCTGCTGGAGTGTACGCGCCAAACAGGAAGTCCACAGTTCCCTCGGGAAGCTACAGAATGATATATTTTTTGAAAAATGGACTCACCCTTTAACTCACATGCTGGTGATACCAGCTCCTGTTGAGTACGTTGGACTCAACAATTCCTATGCAGGCTTTACTGTGACCTGGACTTTGGGGCTTGCCTGAAATATATATATTTTTTATATATTTAATCTAATCAGGTCCAATAGCGTCATGTTATATTTCCACGGGTCTCTGGTCTGCGTGTCAGTAGAACTCAATGAACTGTAGCGACCTGTAAGGTCTTCTTTGCAAACCACAGCGTTTTGGTTCCATATCATTTAAAGGCGACACAGAGAGTAGGGCGGACGTCTTCAGTTTAATCGTGGGACAGACAATAAGAGGAAAAGTGGCGCTATCATAGACTTCCTTTCACATTAACGTCAGTATCAATAAATTAAAAGAAGTTGCCCCACTTGAGGGTCGACAGAATGGAGCAGAGAGCGGCTCCCCACCCCGCACCATCACAACATGTTATCCTCTGCACTTACTTTACTGCAGCAAGCGTTAGTGTGCAGCGCGGTGTACCTGGATCAGATGTTCGTGCAGTTTGTTGCAGTTCAGCAGGGGGAGCTCCTCTGGGAGGGACATCAGCAGGTCCAACATTATGGCACTCTCTGGAGGACGAGATTAGAAAAGTGGTTCACTTCAATGCAGCAGTAGGGAAATGTTTAAAACGCTAAGAACGACAGAGTACGGAAACATGGATGGTTACAATAGACAGTTGCTGTATGTGTGATGCATTGTAGAGGATCAAATTGATGAAGAAGATAAGAAGATCTCCGACTCACCCATGGGGGTGAGATGACAGTCATCATTCGGCTGGTGGACGCTGCTCAGGTAGCGATAGATCCTCTCAAAATCCACTACGCTCTTGACGCCGAATATCCTGGGACTGTCATCTGTGGCGTACTTGTTGGTGCGACCAAACTTGGTGTGGAATGCCGCGGCGGGGGTGGAGAGCGGGGGCTTGGGGGGGGCGGAAGAGGCGTCGGAGGATGGCGCGGTGCTGGGGACCGGAGTTTGATCGGTGGCAGAGGAGAAGGGCGCATGAGGACCAGATGAAGTGGACTTCGATGTAGAGCTGGTGGACATGGTGGTGGGGCTCTGCTCTGAGGGCTGCTGGGTAGTTTGGATTAGAGAGCTGCCAACGCTCTGAGTCTTTACCACTGCTACAGAGCCACAACCAGGTGAGACTTGTCCTGTAACTGGGGTCGCAGTCTGTGAGGTGGGTTGCGGAGATGAAGCGGGCACGGCGAGTATTTTTGCTGCTGCACCCGGTTGGCAGGAGGTGGCAGCAGACTGAGAGGTGGGGGTGCTAGCAGGTGAGGTTTCAGCTGCGGTAGGAAGCTGTTGCTGGGGTGAAGGGACAATGCCGTTTAGCACTCTATCCACTTGGGATGGTGCTGTGAGTCTTCTGGCTGGGCCCATGGCTGGTCCTGGAGTCTTGTGTACCAGGATAGGACGGGCTGTGTTGGTGCCAGGATGCTCAACTAAGAGGGAGGAAATCTTACGTTGTAAAAGCTGTAACATGCTCCTTTATCAGTGATGTGGAGGGAGGTAGCAACGCATCTGAGCACGGGTCAGGGGCCATGTTTAAAGTGACAGCTCTTGTTGGAAAGTCAATCAAACAACCACAACTACACTCAAAACAACCACAAAGACACAAAACAACCACAGACAGGTAATACAACTAACAAAGAGACATAAATAACCACTAAGGATGCAAAATAACTACAAAGACACAACACAACTACAGGGACTCAAAACAACTACAAACAGACAAAAAACAACTACAAACAGATGCAAATTGTATATCCATATATATTGATCAGCAATATTTGATAACACAGAGTAACTGGAGGTGCATACCTTTGATTGGCAACCGAGGCATTGGCCTCAGAGGGACAGTGCGACCAACAGGCCGGTCTGTGGGTGGTCTGTGGACCTGAGGGGGGTCACAGTTCCTTAGGGTGCAAGGCTCTGTGGACGACACTATCAGCATCTGAGAAACAGGGAGAGGAGGAGGATGGTGGGGGGATCAGAGCAACATGAGCCAAAGATGATGGCTTTTGTTTTTTTATACTTTGACATTCAGTGTTATTCCAAGTTGTAGGGGTGGGAATCACCAGAGATGCAGCGATACGATATTATCACGATACTGCGATACTCTCACGATACTGCGATATTCTGAGTATTGCGATACCATAGGCCTATATTACGATTTATTACTTTTTTCAACTTCAAATGTCCCCAAAGGAAAACTGTGTCAACATGTTTTATCTAATAAGATAAAGTTTTCAGTCTGTTCATCTCACTTCAATCATTTTTATTGCAGCAAAATAGGATTGTCAAGCAGACAGACTGACCAACAATGTCATAAATGTTGCATGAACCTGACAAACTGAATTTATTACTACATAGTCCAACTTAACTAAATGCAAACGTGTGGACTCAGTATATGAACTATAACTTATATAAGTAGGATATAAGAGCTATATAACTCAGTATAACTTGCGATTTTTTTATAGTTTACATATTAAAAGATCGATACTTGGCGTCGGTGTATCGATACAATTTCGCCACGCAAAATATCGCGATACTATGCTGTATCGATTTTTTCCCCCACCCCTACCAAGTTGTATCACTCCACTTCCATTATGTACAAGAACAACAATCAGAAATGAAGAAGACCGAGCCCAACATGAGGTACTGATATCTCGGCATGGCTTGCAGTACCTGGGAGAAAGCAGCGGAAATGGGTTCCTCTCGTGTTCCAGCCACAGCGGAGGCCATGCGTGTCCACTGCTCGATGGGCTTTCTGACCTTCTTCTCCTCCAATATCTTCTTCTTCAGCTTGTTGCTCGCCAGTGAGATCACTCTGTTCTTCAAATATTCCACCACAGACTGGATCTAAAGGAGGGGAGGGACAGTCTTTACCCACAAACACGAAACTACCCCAATACAGTGGTTCCAACAGTTTGGAACAGAAACAACTGGTTGGTAAATCGTACCTCTGAAATGGACCGAGCGGGCACGAATTTCCTCAGGTAATCGTAGTCGATGTCTGCGTTCCCTCGAGTGAAGCTGCGGGATATCTTCAGGGCTTTCAGGAGGTTCCTCTGCTCGAGTCGCGGCCAACGACGGGTCACTTTGGGCGGAGACCGCACCGGTTCGAGATGCAGGTTGCGATTTGGTTTAGTTCGTTTACGAGCAGGCGGCTTCATCTCGACTCACGTGGCAGGTCCAAACCCGACAACACCAGGCTGAAAGAGTCACGAGGCAAAATCGTAGTTCGTCTCGTGCAGCTCGGAGAGTTGTGTCCGTCTCTCACGAGATACAAACTTCTATTTGAACGTCAAACTGAATATAAAACGTGTCTTCTCGCAGACTGAGACCACCACGGCATCAACCCGCCTGCCTGCGTTCGGATCCAACGTAAACAATACGTCTTCCGATGCGATATTTTCAGAGTAAAAGCGTTATCTACAGATTCGATTAAAAAAGAAAAGAAAAAAAGGATGTGTACAAAAAACTAAATCAGGTGTCCAAATATATACTTTAAATTCCCCCTTTTAGTCTTGTTAATGGCTTGTGAAGTGTTTTCAAACAACGTATAAAATAATACATCAATTTAGGTCTTTGTCAATGCATAACTTAAATGCAAATTCAATATCCCTCCTTAAACTCATCAACCTATAGCATTTAACACTGTAAACGCTATATAGGCTCCCTGATTTCTGGGTAGTAATCCCAATACAGAGCATGTAATCAACACACACACCTTGCATCATTTCCCCTTTTCTAGTATAACGTGCAAAAAAAGCGGAAGTCACTCGATGTGGTACTTCGTCACTTTAATTTGAAGGCAAGGGGTCTAACTGCTTCCGGGTTGCTCTATTGGCGCGGGGGATATTTCGCCCTAATCTATTTCTTCCAGGTATTGTTGACAGGCCGTGCGCATTCCCCTACAAGTTCCATTACACTATGGTTATGGATGATTAACGTTAGCGAAGCCAACAGCTGACTCTGCGAGATGGCGGGATATGCAGCCTGAAGCATTTGAATGGGTATCAAAAGCAGTTTGACATTTTTGTACTTTCTGGGAAAATAAGAACTACTACTGCAACTCGTTAAATGTAGTTGAAAAAAAACACACACCCACTTTGGCAGCGGTGGGATTCGAACCCACGCCTCCGAGGAGACTGGAGCCTTAATCCAGCGCCTTAGACCGCTCGGCCACGCTACCGGTGTGGTTATTAGTAGCACATATTACAATAATAAATGTATTGTTAGGTATATAGATGAACAGGTGCTATACTCTTCTAGTTTGTTGAACCGTCTGGCTAACGCATTTGAAACAAATATTCTGCAAACACTATGGCTGATACATGCAAGGAGAAAAACATGAATGAAGACTTAAATAAAAGAGTTTAGAATGGGTTTGCTGGAGTGCATACTTCCCCAAATATAAGAAAGAGCAGAATAAGGCAAACACACTGTTTCATTTTGTAAACTAGATTTGAGCCAAGTGGAAATAATTAACATGACTTATTAAGAGCATGTGTAAATGCTAAGTCACATGATCAGGTGACATTATCCAGATAACACACCCAGGACATGTTAATACCAAGGACCAGCAGCTACTGTATGTTGCTTATTACTATGTAAATGTGTTGTAAGTGTTCTAATGAGCATGTTCTAATGCTTCCTGCTTTCTATTGACAAATTACATCCTCTTGAATATTTTTGATCAGTGTGCATGAACGTGCATGTTGTACACATGTCTTATGTGTGCACTTTTGTGTGTGTATGTGTGTGTGTGTTTGGGTGCTCTGCAGTGGCTGCATGATGATGTTGGTGGATGAGTCACCCAGTATTCACCACGTGACATCATGAATCACCGCACCTCTCCATGGGCAGAGCTGCAACCATCAACCCGCTCCACTCCTCCCTTATCTCATCCCTCCCTGTCATCTGGCACGCTCTCTCTCTCTCTCTCTCTCTCTCTCTCTCTCTCTCTCTCTCTCTGTTCCTCCACTCTCCCTCCTCTTTATTCTCACCAGCAGCCGTTTCATTTGGATTTTCATTTCAGTGCAGCCTTGTGTCTCGGCCTGACTCATGCATGTCCCATCTCATTCCTGTCTATCTTTTATTCCTGTGCATTCCTGTCACCCACACCACCCAGTCAGTTCACACATCCGTCCACGTTGTTCTGAGGTTGAATTACTGAACCTCGTTTGACAGCCTTTGGAAGTCCTCTCTATAGTTTCAGTGTTTCTCAAACACACCCACTGTGTGGGTGTTAGCACATCCCTGCAGCCCACAATCCCCACCTCCTGCTCTAACCTCTAATCACCCTGCTGAACACCCCCACCCTGGAGCAGCACGACGTATCAAAGCAAGCCGAATCCTGTCTTCTGCTCCCTCCCACCTTTAATTACTGTCTGTGCTGTAATCGGCCCGAGGGGCTACACAGGGGATTATCCTTCTTAACCCTAGATACGTTCATGATTTATTCATAAGGAGGAGAATGTAGTTTTCAGAATGCGCCGGATCGTCTTTGAGGCAGTTGTTGGCCTCATTCTGGTGACGGTGACATTGACAGTTGATCTCTTAACGGGTAACTAATGCGCCCAGCCTCCACGGCATCACAATGGAGCTAAATATAATTTTGTTTGTGCTGCCCACAGCTTTGACAAATTACTTCACCTTCATGTTTTACCTGTATGCAACCTAAGCCCGCTCATTTGTGATTGGTCAGTACTACATGGACTACAAACCAGAATGCTTTTGATACCACAATCCTACATATATAAAAATGTTTGTTCTAAAATATTTTACCTACCCTAGCTTTGAATTGAACAAGTGGAAACATGTCTCAAACCAACAGTTTGTTCCATTCCAAACTCTCTCAGGGATTATTTGCTTGATTTTTAATCAGATTTGCTGTTGATATTCAAGTTTCTCATGATGATTCCTAATGTCTCTCTCTTTCATTCTTACTTCAAAAGCCATCCATCATCCATCCATCCATACATCCATCCATATATCCCATCCATCCATCCATCCTTCCATCCATCCATCTATCCATCCACCCATGCATTTGTAGAGCCATCAGTTTTATCAATCTACACTAACTGCCCAGGACTGTCATAGTACATGTCACAGTCCAGTATAATTATCTCACAGTACCTGGATGTTTCAGTTGCTCGGTTGTTCATGAATTTTGAAAACAGGATGACAGTATGAATATGTAAATATGAACACCTGAGCGACTGGAATATCCCCGTTCATTGAGATGGCTATTGAGGACCTTTGCTGTCTCCTTTCACATAAAAATGATCTCCGACCACAGTGAAGCAGATTTGTATTAAAAATAGTTTGACTTTATTGTTTCTTCATGTATAGCAAAAGTAGTCATTGACATGCGCATATTTACATCCAGCAAACGCATGTTTATTACGATGGTTACAACAAGGTACATCTAGAAAGACCATGGAAAACACTCGCCGCATACATGACTCAAACAATGATTTTAAGGTACACCGACGTCATTGTTTCTGTCATCTTTAGAGTTTTTTTTATACTTTTTTAATTGATGCTTGTACGTCTTCAAAGAAGCAATTTTTAGATGCAAGTATACATAAACGTGCAGACACTGTACCCTCGCCTCTGGTCTGTCGCTTCATATCTCAGCCTCTCTTTTTCTACCCTTCTCTTTCTCAATATGGGACTTGCTTCTTGAAAAAACAACAAACCATTAAAAATTACAAAAAAGCTTTGTTTTTATTTTCATATCAGTTCACTCTCATTTTTCTTGGACTAATGTCCTCATGTTGACATTATTTTTTCAGTTTGAGATAGTCGATGCCGTGATTCTGTTTTGGCTTGACAACAAAGACATTGAGCTTTGCTCATCCCTTAGCAACAGATGACCACAAAGGTCAACAATACAGACAAACCAAAGAGCAACATCTGCTCTCGTTCCATGACGCATTTGAAAAAGAGGTAAACGGGGAGAAAAGGGAAGTGTTTATTGATTACTGATTATCAGTAGCCATTTAAGTAAAGAAGGGAACTCTCAGCAGTACAAACCTTTTTTTTTGCATGTTAAAAAACTTCAATACAATCATATTCATAACACTGCCATCCAATCCAAGCAATGAAAAATCCCTTCATCATGGTTTTTTTTTTAATTGTGACTTAAACCTGAATATGAGCAAACTGATCCTGTCTCCAGTGGAGTCAGTTCCAGAGAATCATTTCATTATCCCGTCTGCTTCCATTACAAAAGATTTCTGCCTTGATCTCGTGGATGATATCAAGTGGTACAAAAGAAAACATGAAGCGCAATGTTCGGGATGTCACAGTGATATGTAAGGCAGCCAGTTTCAGCTCAGAATTTGGAAAGAAGTTCCCATCTACAAATGTATAAAATGGGTGATCGATGGCTGTGCAACATTTAGAACAAATACTTGCCCGAATTCAATCTTTACTTGCCCTTATACAAATTGTTTCATTAATTAGCGGTTATCAAATAACAACAAAGTTGGTAGATTTACTGGCCCATCGTGGCATTTTATTTGCCCCGGGCGAGCTGGCAATCTTTATTTTTTAGCCCTGTAACGATTAATGAAAAATATATGTTGAATAATAAAATCGCACTAAATGGACTTCATCGAGCTGAAGGGAACTTTGGAATTTAGGGGCACTTTGGGGCGCGACGACGAAACCATTGAGGGTATCTTTAAAGGATAAGGCTGGTGATTTTCTAGATTAGGAATATAAACTGAGTGCTACAGATGGGGTAAGGAGATGTGGAACATATTTAGTGATATAGAACACCACCAGCCTTACCTGTTAAAATGCACGCGTTTAGTAAAAGAGCAGTATGTGACTCCACCACTGCATCCTCCTCTGGAGGCGTCAAAAGAATGCCATATAGAGTTTGGTCAGGCTTTGGCACCATAGCAACAAGGTAATTGAAGTTATGCAAAGGGGTGAGTCATCCCAGCCATTATAGTGTTGTTCGTGTGGCTTCCACAGCCCTTTGTATGAAATATGCTTTTTGGTGCATTATATTTCATGATGAAGAGCTTTGGTGGGTATGTGTGAGCATACATAAATGAGAAGGTGCTGTTCTGCTGAAATGTTTTTGCTGCATCTTCATACAAATACCACAAAAAAATGATACATTTGCATAAAAATGTATTCATTTTTTAAAAATGAGATAGCAAATGGCTCCGGAAAGAGGCCATTCCCAGAATATGCATGATTTTTACGTCATCTCTAAGAGATGAAAGGTGTGTCTGTTGTGCACTATATGGACAGAAGGTGGTCATTTCAGAAAGAATATGTTTATGTAATATTGTTCAAATTTCCCTGCCTGAGATAATCACACACATATTCTCTTTGTGTTTAGACAGTAGAACTCCATCAGGCTCCAAACGCTTCCCAGCGTTCATCGCTGCTTACGATCTGACTCTGAAAAATATATATTTTTTAAAGGTACAGGTAACAACATATTCAAGCGTCCTCCTTTGTTGGCATTGTAAAATGTCCAAATGGAGAATGTTGTCATGCCGGGAGTTTGGATGAGAAGTTCTAGCATGATACAAATCTCTGCCGCAGCATGCTTTCCAACAGACCACGTTCGTCCTGTGTCCCCTCCTACAAGGCGGAGGAGTGTAGATGTGTATCTTCCCTCTCCTTTTCCTGTCAAAGTGACATTTCATCCAGGCTAGCTCTGGAAATAAAAGTCCTCCTTAATGTCCTTGGCCAAATCAAAACACGAAATAGGAGAAATAAACTTGTTACATATATAATACAAAACCAAACAAAATAAGATCAAAAAGAAATACTTTTCTGCCCATCTCTCATCTTTCCCCATACTCTCGCTTCCTCATCCCTCTTTCAGTCCAACACTGGCCTCTTCATGAGTATCTGCTGTATGTATTTCTCCAGATCGTCACGGTTGCTGCTCTCTGGCTGCTTTCCAGCCACGTGATAGTTTTCATTTCTCGTTGCTGCGGGTGCCGCCGGGGCTGAGTAATAATATTTCTGCTGAGGCGGGATCACAGGCATTCGGAGAGGGGAGCGAGGTTTGGGTACCGGCTGATACCGGTAGGTGGTGTAGTAAGGCCTCTGCTGGAGGACTGCGGGGGGGGTTCTCAGTCGGGGTTGGACCCAGCTGTGGTAACGGCGTTTGGGAGAGAATGAGTAGGTGTCGTCCACGGAATTCCCAAGGAAGTTGTTGAGGGTGAGAGCGGGTTTGGGGATGTAGTAACGGGGTTTGGGTCTCCGGGGAGGAGGGTAATAGATGGGGTAGTAGTCTGGGTACTGCTTCCTCTGGTAGTAGGACGGGTATGTGTAAGGGTACAAAGGGTAGCCAGTCCAAACTGACTTGGGTGATTTGAGCCAGAGGTCCTGTTTGATTGACAGAGGCTTCTGAGGTTTGGGCCAACGATTCTGATTGGCCAACAGAGGCCTGGCAGGTTTGCTCCAGAGATCCTGTGACTTGGTCGGCGATTTCTCCTGTAACCATGTTTTGAGGAGATTGACAGCTGGGGAGGGTTGCTTAGAGACGGGAAAGTTATTTTGACTGGTTAGAATCTGTGATGCTGAGAAACCATTGGATGACGAGAACGGGGAAGATAGCGAAGTTGGAGGTCGTTGCCAACGAGACGCCATCTCGGGCTGCACGTCTTTCTTCTTCTTCTTTTCCACATCTTTGATGATGTCCACCACGTCGTCGGCAGGGAGGTGGAGCTTGTTGGAGATCTCGATCAGCTTGTCGATGGTCTGGGGATCGATATCATCCTCCTCCGTCACTTCCTGTTCCTCATCGGATCTCTTGTCCTCCGCGGCGTTGGACAAGGAAGAGCTGTACTTCTTGTTCCCGTTGTTCTGTTTAACCATGTAGCGCAGCAGCATGTCCGAGGCGATGTCGGCCAGCTTCTCCTCCTCCATCTTGGCTCTCTGTGCCTCGGCCGCCTGCCTCCTCATCTCCTCCTGCTCTGCTTTGGCCTGAGCCTCCTCCTCCTCGGGACTCAACAACTCCTCGTCTTCCTCTTCCTCCTCATCCTGTGGTTCATCCTCTTCCATTACCTCCTGCTCTGCTGGTTGGGGCGACTGTGCTACATTACCGCCAGCGTAATTGTTGTCCTCGAAGTCGTCCATGAAATTGCCCCCCCTGAACTTTGGGAAGTTCAGGCCTTTCTGCGTCTCCTCCTGCCATTTCAGTTTCTTCTTAGACATGGCGAGGTCGTTGCCTTTGTTGGTTGGTATGATGTCGTAGCTGCTGTAACCTCTGATCTCTCTCTGGTTTTGCTCTGAATCTCCCTCCCTCTTAGTGGCCGTGTTCAAACGAGGAAACTCCTTCATCATGGTCTCGAGGTTCTTTAGCTCCTCGGGGCTGATCTGCTCCTCCTCCTCATTGCTGCCTTGTTCAGGGCTGTTTGGCCCCTGCTGGGGGGCAGCGCCCTGCCCTTTCTCCCCTCTTTCATCCAGACTAGCGGGCTGCCGCTCTGCTTGGACCTGGACCATCTGACTTGTGGTGCGACTGGTCACCTTTTCTGTCATCTTCTCTTCTTCTTCTCGAGCTTTCTGCTTCTCCTCTTCCTCCTCTCTTTCCCGCTTCTTCTGCTGCGCGGCCATCAGCAGCTCCAACTCCTGTCGTCCATCTCGGTCTCTGTCTGCCCCCTCCATCGTTCTCACTTCTCTGCCTGCTTCTTCTTCTTTAACCTCCCCCATCTCAGCCTTCATTTCTCCTTCCATCTCATTGCGCTCCCCTCCCTCCCGTCTTTGCTCTACTCGTGAGTGATTCAGTGCCTCCAGTAAAACTGCCGCTAGTGTTTTGGGATCCACACCTTTGAAGAGCTCTTCCTCTTCCTCTGCATCTTCTTTCTGCATCGATCGTGTCTCCTCTTCCCTTCTACGAGGAGCATCTCTGTGTGGGTTATCAACATCTCGAGGGGTGTTGATCGGCTTGGAGGTGGACAGATGGAGGAAGGAAGCCCCTGTCAGGAGGACGAGGAGAGCACTTGAGGCATCGTGGTACCCAATCATGGTCACTCAGAAGAGGGCCCGCTGTGAGCAGCGAGGGGGATCAGAAATGCCTGGAGGACAGAGAAAAACACAGAGACACATCTTCAGTTTCAGTGACTCTCAATAAAAAAAATCTCGCCCTGTAGCACAAAGTCATAGCACCAAATTATTGAAAAGTCGCCATTATTAGAGAATTCTGAACCTCGAGATTCTGTACTGTGTCCTCAACGAAGCAAGGTGAAAAGTAAGGGTGTATAGGTCAGGGTGGTGAATGAGCAGATAGCTAATATTCAAACATTATGTACCTCTTCATGCCGTGAGCTATTTTTCTAAAGGAGCAAAATGCCCTGAGTGAATTTGAGTTCCCTCTGGTACACAGTTATGCAGCGTATATGTCTACAGCTTTTATTGTGAAAGGTAAGAACGGAAGGAGTGGATCTGGTCTGCGCTTTCTTTGTCAAGGTTGAAAGGAGTAATAAAGTTTGCCAGCTTGGTTTCGGACTACTGACTCTGTGTTGTTATAGCCTACATTCAATATATCTGTTCCGCACGATGTGATTGGTTGATGCCTTTATTCGGGGTCTAAAAGCTCAGAAAAATTGTCCTTGCTTCGGAAAAACCTACGCCGCTTTTTGCTCACGTAATATTGACGTTTTTGTGGTAAAGTACTCATGACAAAAACAACAGTTCGAAAAAATATATTGACGTGCAAATTAATGGCATGAAAAAAACGCTCAAAGTCTCAAAGTTATGATGCCATCAAGAAAAAAACAGTCTGGAGCTGCTGCATAGACAATGAATAGGAGGTTTTTTGTGGGTTTTTTACACAAATGAGCTTTATTCTATTTTAGTGTTCTTGGTTGTAAAATGGAAAATGTAGCCGCACACTAAGAATATTCCTCTGGATACTTAGTGTCATCTAGAACATGTTTCCCAATTGATTGTCTGTGGAGTAGCTCCACACTTCATTCTTGATGACATCACAGTAATCTTAGCACGTTTTAGGATTTCAGTTGTTCATGTTTACATATATTATTACTAGGACAATAGGAATAACATTTATGTATTTTGAAAATGGATGTAGTTCCCCTTTAAGTTACCACTTAAAGAGGTAATTGTGTTGTTTTTTTTAACCACAATTCTCTTGAAGGGACATGAAAGCACGCATCGGTATTTGGCTCTTCAGGAGCGGGACCACTGCACCACATGCAACATTTTTTTGGTGATAGAGTAACATTATTGAATTCAGCTCAGCATCAAGGAGGGGCGGGAATAATAACCGGCTTTTCTTTTGCGTGGACCACCGCCGTGCTGCATGGCACCACGCCACACTGTTTGCTGCAAATAATTGAATTAAGGACACTGCAAAAAAAAAAATATATATATATATATCTACACACGACTTCAACAATTAGTTTATATATATATATATACATGTTGTAAAAGTCGTGTTTGATTCTGGTGCAGAGATGATTCAAGACACCCTCAAAAATGTCGGAAACAAGTTCATTTGTAATTGGAAAAAATCTGCCATTTCAAGAGCCACCAGACCAACTGACTGGCACGTTCTGCAGTGGAGGTGGCTGGAATGCAGCGGATGCGTGATGCGTGATGTGCAAACACGCAGCGAATGATCGACTGGCTTCGTCTCATCCGCCGCACATACAAAGCAAACTGATATATTATAAGCAACCAGATTGCAGGAGGTTTAGGCTCCATGGCCTGAGCAGGTCACACCACAGTTGGTACCAACAAAACGGATTAATAATCCGCCTCTGAGACCCAAGAATCAAGAGCACAAAAAAAACCTGTGAGCATGAAGCCACCTCCAGACTTCTGGCAACATGAGTAACCTGCCACCAACCTACACACTGTAAACCTCCAAAAAAACAAAACAGCATTCATGGATCAGTGTCATGCAGACATTTTAGACACGACAAAGGGTTGTCATTGACTCTGTATCATCACCTTTGTTCTTTATTTATTTATTTCTTTTAAACAGTCACCTTGATGCACACAAAGCAGCTTCGTTCTACTTAATTTTCAATCTGGTTATTTTCGGCAAAGCGAGTCATGGTGATGGTGGCTGGAGATGGTGATAATTGAGATGGTGGTGATGATGATGATGGTGATGATGGTGGGGAGGAGGAGGAGGCAGAAAAAGGAGGGGGGCAACACAGCCACCTCTGTTTTGACCATAGGCAAAGGAATATGGAAAGTCCAAGTGGCAATACATTCATCTCCCACACGATGCAAAGCTCCAATTAAAAAGCGCTCTTATGTCTGAACTGAAAAAAATGTGTTGCTGGATCAATTAATTAATATATTATGTGTCACGTGACTAAAGGGGATTTTAATGTTTTGTGACTCAATTAATAGACAACTTCAACCCAACAAACACCAGAAACCACTGTTTTCAACATTTTTTACAATTTTCTTTTTGGGCTGATCTACACTCATAAAGCATAACACTTTTATTTTTTAAACAAGATTATACTATATAAAATATAGTAATAATTCTCAGTTTGGATTATCAGACAGCCAACCCAACAGATTTCCTTTTTTTTTTTCCCAGAAGAGAAAGTAAAGTAATGCCGGATAAGTTGCCACTTACTTGCAGTTCAGTCGGAGCAACGGGGGATTCCAGCTTCTGGTCACGTCACACTCAAAGCTGCAAGAAGTCCCCGCTGTCATGCACACCGTGCATGCACCGTGCTCTTGTTGTTGTTGTGTGCGAGTTTGTCGTCTAACGTTAAGGGTCGTCACTGTTGTTGTTGTCACCTCCTGCGCGACTTCTCTCCCGGAATCCGCTCTTTCTTCTGATTTCAGGACCACGGACAGCGGCTCCGGTGCTCTTATACCTCCTGTCCTCCCCGGCCCACGTGATTCGTGCGTCAAGCGGTCCCCATTGACGTCACCAGTCTGGGTTTCATTCATAAGATTTTTTTGCACCCCCCCCCCCCCCCCCTCTTTCCTCGAACCAATTAGCTGCAGTGCTCGTGCTGCTGAATGAACAGGAGCTGCTGAATGAATTCGCAGTTTATGGCTCTCCGTCTCTCCGCATGCAGGGCCGGACCCCGCCTCTCCGGGGACGTGGCACGTGCGTGATTCCAAGCAACGTGTCAACAATAAGCTGAGTGACATAAATTCATGCAAATTTTGGAAAAAAATATGCACGGACAGGAATGCTGTTCGTTAAATATTATCGCTTAATAATTTATTGTTTTCCTTCATGTTGGGGCTTCACCATCACACTCGCATGCAGGAGGAGCAGTGGTCTCCAATCAAGGGTCCGAGGACCCAAGGGGGTCCTTTGGGGAGTTCAAGGGGGATTTCAGATGACGTCTTATCTTCCCTTTACATCCCCTTTTATCCTGTTTCTTATTCAATATTCCTCCCTTTGCCATATATGTGTTTATTCATTGTATCACTACTGCACACCAGTCCACCACAATGTAATATGTATTACTATCTTATTTCATTTATATTCTATTTTATTCCGATATGTTTTAACTTCTGCACTATTATTTCTTATATCTTTATTTGACTGATTGACTGATCATTGTTTCTAGGAGCCTCACATAAACATGTCCCCTGTCCAACACTCCACTGTAACGCAACAGATGAAGAACATCAACTCTTGTTGCTTTCTCTTCCATGACAATATATATGTAGTATATCGACATTGCATGCATATGGAGTGCAACACATATAAGATGTGATTATTTAAATCATTTTGTCAAACATTCTGTGCATTTGCAGTTGCGGCTGCAGCATCACCTGCTGGTCAACACCTGCTCTCTGAATCAGGAAACTCATGTAGTCACCTCACCAAGTTCAGTTCATAATGGTTAGTTAAACATAAATATTAATGTCAACATTAATTAATGTAAATGCAGCACCCATTCATTACTGTATTAAAACGATTACTGGGGATTCTTTTGGAAAGAACTGGAGTTTTACAACATGTTTTAATTATCATGACTTTGGAAATTCTGTATTTTTCTGTTTTTACACATAAAACCTGCTGAATACACACACTTCTGCAGCAGCACAGGCGGTTACAAAATGTCCAGACACATTTAGTTTAGCTTAAAACACTTTATTCTTTATAAAATGACATTCACACACCAAGTCCCTTTAGCCTTTGCATCACAGATTCACTGATCGTCTGCTTTCTTAAACCAGAGCCTCGATCAGCTCTCTACATCTTATTCTCTTCCTCCAACCAAACAACTTTCAACGAGAGATTTCTATCAAAGTCCTCTCTCTCTTACACCTCAACGAATTTATGGACAACATAATCACCAAATTGATAAAGTCATTGCATATGATGAGCTGATTGACCGAAAGACAAAGTTCAAACTGAGCATTAAATAGAACGAGACGATAAAATAAACATTATTCAACACACGATTCAAAGAACGTCTGTTTGAAGGGCAGCAGAGGTCGGGGTTAATATTAAAACCTCAGGGAGTAAAACAGTGGGGGTATGCTAATATATGGGAGAATGTGAGGAGGATTATGCTTCAAACAAAGTGCTCGTCAGAACATCAGACGGGAGGCGTGGTCCATTGAAACAATCACACTTTGAACGTGACCTCCGTCATTTCACGTGCACGACAGAGTGCAACACGGTGAATGACTTCAAAGAAAAGTGTGAGCTGTTATTGCATCACGACTACAAAGATACTCGGCGTTTTTTGAAGGACAACCAGGAAGTCGGCATCACACTGGTTCACTCGACAAAAAGTCAATGGGAGTTTTTCTTTCGGATTCTGGATTATTGCAGAAGACAATCTCTGAGGCAAACAAACGTTTAGATACTTTTGTTCAGCAAGATAATCTTCACAAAGGAAAGACACTTAGGATTTATGAAGTGTGAATGCAATTGCCAGAAGTACAGAGCTAACTTTAGGCTATAAACAAACTACAGCCCGGGCACATAACTTCACATCAGTGATGTCGTTTCGTAGTCTCATTAAGACACTTGTTAGTAGCCTTTTTTAAGATGATTTTTTTATGTCGTAGAACAAAAATCTCTTCAGCTTGTGTTAACCACATATCTTATTTCAGGAACTCACAAAAAACCCATTGACTTCCAGACCAGGGGAACAGGAAGTGTAAAAATGCTAACTGTTTGAGGACTTCCATTTGTTGCAGTACATGTGGACACAGTACAGCACAATGAGCCCTTACTCTGAAACACAGTCATATTCAGAGTTCAGCAGAGGGAAACAAAGGCCTGCTGTGTTGAGACAACAGTGCTGCAGATGAACTGACTTCGTCAGACAGGTTCAGGCTGAATGTCCTGCAGCGTGTTGCTGCCAATGACCTCCGCCTTTTCTTAGTTTCTTCCACGAGGTACACATATAGGTCATTTGAGGGTGTAGTACTTCTTCGAAGAACATAGTGCTTCAGTTCAATATTTACTGAGTTCTCCATCGATGCAAATAAGCAAGCAACATGAACAGCAGGTCACGTGAGGTCACAAAACAAAGCACATGAATGAGGACATTATATAAATTAGATCGCTGTGTAATGAAAAACATGCATACATTCTGAGGCATTAAAAGGAGCACATTCCTCCGTTGTGTAGGATTGGAAAATGTAACAAAAACTAAAAAGGGATGAAGGAATTAATGTTGAGATATAGCCAAAGATATTTATGTTTTCCAAAAATATGTTTCATCTGCGTGAAATGATAGTTCATACGTTTTTCTGAAAGTCCCATATCACCTGGCACTGATCAACAGTATATGGAGAGTTAAGGGAGAGTTTGGATTGTTTGAAATGGGGTTTAACAGTATGAGGTACTTCTCCACAGTCAGTGTATTACTACAGTACATAGACTTTAGAGAAACAGACAGGAGTGCTTTACTCCTGTCTGTTTCTCTAAAATGTACTGCTGTGGACGGAGGTAGCAGCAGAACCTATTTTAAGTGCAAGTCTACGCTATATTTTCACCGCTCAACCTTGCTAGCTTTTTCTGACGTGGAGCTGAAGACGTATCCATCCATGCTTTCTCCAAAGCCACCGGACTCCATTGACAAAAACAGCAATTTTACCTCGTAGAACAGGACTTGCTGCTTTACCGCCGCCTCGATCGGTCAGTTAGTTTGTCCCATTGCGTGACTTTAGTGTTTTAAAACGCGTAAATTCTGATTCACCAAAGTCACACAATAACACACAAAGAAACAACTATTGAGGCATTGGTAGAGCAGCAACTCCTGAGGTAAAATGTTTTTGTTAATGGAGTCTTGTGGCTTTGAAGAGAGAACAGCTTCAGTTCCCCTTCATAAGGGGCTGTCCGACAGCTAGGTTGTTAATAGAACAAACATTTATGGATTTTTTTAGGTGTCTAAAATACGTCCACACACTTTGCTCCTGTGCGGGTACTCCCGTCTGTTTCTCCAAACTCCATGTACTGTAGTAATACACAGTGGAGGAGCAGCGAATACAAAACCACTTCAAAAACAACCAAACTAACCCTTAAGTAGAAAACTGCATGGTCACTTAATTAGCAATAATAGGATTTCATGAATATTTCAGATATGTTCACTTCAATAAAGTGAACATTTGCTGAGTGACTGCTTGCAGACAACTATTACAATTTTTCCCGAGTGACCAGCTGGATCTTTGTATATGATGGTCAATTATGAGCTTTCGTACAAACCCTCCATCTCATCGCAAAGACGTTTATAGCCAACACACTCATCCCTGTCCACAGCTTGTTATGAAGTAAACATATGCATAATGTAAGATCGTACACACAGCGGTGTAACAGTTCACATATGCTGGATTATTGCTGCGAGTACATTTGGGTTCTGATCTCTTCGTCTGTATTGGATCTAGTTGCAGAATATTTTGTCTCGCAGGTAAATAGTGTCACTTTAATAGTTGAAGTTCAGGACTCCTGGTATTTGGATCAAGACCATAATTGAAAATAAGGTTTGCAGTAAGTTGACGACCTAGGACATATCAATTTAGGGTTTTGATAATTTAACTTTTGTCACAAATGAAAGCTGATGGACACGAAAAGGAGTTGGATTCAATGAGTGGAGTCAATTCTGGATTCAGATTCTATAAAGAGAGCATGAACCCAACATGTCTTTGCATTAATTGCTCAAATGAGGGGAAGTTGAAGGAAAACCATGAGAATACAAGCATGTCGATGGACCATAAACCTGAGGTTGGAGCCTCCATGAGCACGGTGAACTGTTACACCCGTAAAGGAGACGTTCAAAGCTGCTTGTAGGCATACTACTGTTTAAGAAATGCACTTTGCTTTAATGAAACGACTGAAAGGACGAGCATTTAAATGTGATCCTGCTCTGTTCCTTTACTAGCAGCGGCTGCTCATCTGGCCTAAGACGGCATGTCCAACTATAAACAGCTGTAACAACCACTCACTTAAAATGATAAAATGTTGTAAAAAGCATGTACGGGAAGAAAAAATACACTTATACTCTAAAATTCGATATATTCTAAATAGGGCTGGATTGAAGTTCAGAGGCTAACATGTCGTACCGGTAAGTAGAACCAGCAGAACATCAAGTTCCAACTGGCCGCTTCTTTTTCCTTCCATCTCTGCGGCTGCTTCCTGCCGTCTGGAGGAAAACTAAGTGGGCTGTGATTCTCAGTGGCTCTTTGTTGAATTGCATAAGACAGACGTGACATTTCCATCTCGTCTGGTACATCAGTCCACTTGCGGTACATACGCATTGGCTCATATGTAAATGAGTTCTTTGAGGCGGTGATGCAAATCCCGAACGTCTTTGGTTCATCGTTCACAACGCACTTCATCACCCCGAACCCGTCGCCTTCGGTCAGACGGGCCAATCGCAGATACAGAAGGGAAATCCAACCAGCACAACTCTGCCTTTCTGAGAAAAAGTCTATAGAATAGAATCTATAGAAGTGTAGATGAAATAAGGGTAACAATACAGGGACAGAGATGTTAGGCTGAAGTAGCATTAGCACATCTAAAGCGCGGAGCCAGAGAACAAAAGGACAAAAATAAGACCCAAGTTCATCATCAACAGAAATCACCCTCTACACAAACGAGAGGAAATGTGTGGGACTGACACTCCCGTGGTCTTGATGTTAAACAGACATTTGATTTGTGTTTTTCAGCTGCATGTCGTGTGTTCCTTGTTTTATGTTATCATGCACATAACCAATAGGAATGATGGCAAACTCTATGAAAACAGGATAGTTTAAAACACAACTCTACTCCAAAAGGTCTGCTGGCATTCAATACTTTTCTGATTGTCACCCAATCGCATGTGTAGACCCACACCAACAATCAATATGTCCCACTAGCAGGTATATTGTGTGTGTGTATCCTCTTCCACTGGCTGATAGAGCTCCATTATTAAAAACACATCAATGAGTGACAGTAGCTGTGCTTTTCAAAAGTTCTCTTAAAATCTGCTTGATAATTGAATGGAAACACGGCTACTGTTGCTCTTTGTGACACACTGTAGATTATTTGGACTAAATCCCACATACTGTCCTGCTGCTGTAATATGTATGAGGATTAACCTGCCGCTGACAATAGTCCCAAATAAATGCACTACTTCCTCTTGTTTGTGCTAACAACTACAGTAGCCAGCTGTTGTTTTTTAGCGCCTGTTCTTTGTGAAACATCTGAGCCGTTTATAAATATGAATGTGTTCAGTCGGAGCCAGTGGGCTTGGAAATGAGTGTCACATTGGTAGTTTTTGGTCTTTTCACGAGACTTGTTGAAAAAACTAAAAATATAAAAGGAACGTCAAATCCCAGACTTGGTCTCAGTCCACATTCAGTAGCTTTAAGCTTCTGTACAGGGCTGTGACTGTTCACCCACCTCTCTGCATCACGGCATCAGGCTGACTGCCTGGCTGTGACTCCAGCGCCAGCATCTACTGGAATTCAAGTCTCCAATAAGCTGAAGGTGGACTCTATCTCACCCCTTTAAAAACCTGAACACCCCCCACCCCACCCCTGCTACCACACACACGTCCCCACACTCAGGTCTCACTCACACACACACACACACACACACACACACACACACACACACACACACACACACACACACACACACACAAGTAAAGGGCCTGTCAATGCAAGGATCCTCCATTCCTAACTGAGTCTCCCCCCCAGTTAAACGCTGTACATCAGTCCCCCCAGAGCCAAAGATCCCAGCTTGTTCCATCCCAGATTGTGCCCCGCCCCCCTCTCATCCAGCCCTCTGCCTTTAGTATCTAAAGTCTCTCACAAGCTAGTTGTGTACTACGCCAAGCCCATCTCCTCCAGCACACTCCTGGGTGACTCGTCCTCCTGTAAAGGGAGACAAGAGACGGTAGAACGGAGGACTCACTTTAAAGCATTTGTTTTGAAAAAAACAATACACATCATTTCATGTGGCTGCCAGCTCTGAGAGGTCCAGACAGTAACATTTTCCATCACTCCCATGTCTATAAGGCATTATAAACATACCTATGTGTTATCATCTGCTTATAGCACTGTATAACTCAAGTTGTAAGTAGGGCTGCAACTAACGATTATTTTAATATGAATCGGATATCAATGGGCCAAAAAAGGCGAGTGAATAAAAACGTGTTTTTAGTCTTGCAAACTATACCACCCTTGCTTTACTACTGTTATTAACGAGCTAACGCTAACTTGTCATGCTTGTCAAGCTGGATAACGAGTAAACACCAGCACCAGAAGAGCTACTGGAGGGACGTTACGTTCCTCACTTCAAAACGGAACAAAAGTAGGATTCTGTAGTGATTTACCCTGCTGTTGAACTCCCTTCCTCCTCATCAAGGACACCAACATGTTTACGTTGTTGAATCAGGAAATAAGTACTGTAGCCGTCTGTGTTCACTCAGAGCTCTACGATACCTCATATCAATAGAGACCGGACCAAACTATGTGTATAAATGTGTGTGTAAACCATATGGTACAAACAATGAATAGACGCTGCCGTATTTATGTCTAGCTGACGTTATTCTGAGTGTTAGTGGAGCTGCTACAATGTTAGCATAGCCTAGCACCGATCCATCTGAGCTCCATTGAGAAGACAAGTAGCCTACAAATCGGCATCATTACGTAGTTATTTCGGAGTCCCTTTTTGTCGGTTTATTGCCGTTAAATCACAGCCAAATCAGTTTATTTTGTGTTGATACAGCAGTAGTAAACAGCGACGTGTGGCTTGCTAGACACAGTGAATACAGCTCGATAAAATCCACAGAGCTCCTCTGGACAATGTTATGAACCAGACATGACGGCGTTCAGTTTCCCGGGATATCTGGGACTTCCACAACACGTACTAAGCAGAAATAGAGGTTATTTTTTCCATGGTTAATGGCGGACAGTTGAACGGCTTTCAGGGCGATAAGCCTCTCCGGCGCGTCCAGCGCGAATGAACACAAATAGTCCCCGGCGAGACCGGCAGCGCGAATGGCGCTCAACTAAACATTTTTTTTTTTATACTCAAACATCTCCGCGACTTATTGAGTGGCGTAATAATTTTAATAACGATTTTTATCGATTCGTTGTTGCAGCCCTAGTTGTAAGCACTCGTAAATAATAATAAATGCTTTATAACAATCATAATAAAGCAGTTTATTAGGGTTTAAATATATTTCCACTTCATATAATGTGTTATGATTATTGTTATAAAGCATTTTACAAATGTATGAGTGTTATAAATATAATAAAGTGCTATAAGCAGATTATAATACGTTCATAATGCATTATAGACATGGGCGTCATAGAAAGTGTTACCATAGACATACATACATATTACATTACAGCATTATAGAACCCTGAAACACTGACACGCATAAACACTTACAAAACTATCATGCACTGAAAGCTGAAGGTCTGATCAGATTCAGAATCTCTTTCACCTGTTGTTTATTTAATGAAATCTAAATGTTGCAGTTTTAGACCGTGTTCTTTGAACCCTCCATTATGACCTATTAGTTACAGGAACTAATAAACTAGAGGAACTAAACGAGGTCCCATTTCCTCTTCCTGTTTGTGTTTCTGCTAAAGTGAAGACAGACCATTTAGATCCACAACGGTCACAAAGATGATGGCAGCATTTGAGAGACAATGTTTACCTACGTCAGAGGTATTGAGGACTGGCTGCTGGCACTACATTTAAATTCTCTGTTGTTTCTAGTAGAGAGGCAGGGGTCTGAGATCCTAACATTTTAGTGATAACTGATGTAGAAATAGAACAGACACCCAATCCCCCCCTAACCCTCCTTGGTGGAGGGTGAAACCCTAAAGCCACGGTTACCTCCTGAAGTAGGTCGGCTTGTTCGATGGCTTTGAGGACGCTCTTCTTCGACGTATCCTGGATCTCTCCTCCCATCAGGAACTCATCTAGAATGAAGTAGGCCTTCTCAAAGTTAAAGATGATGTCCAGCTCACACACCTGCACAAACGAACACAAGTCAACCATGCTTTCCAGAGCAGGGGAATGATGACTTCTTATGTAACTTTCAAACCTTAGCTAGCCGTGTGAAATCAACTCTACACAGAGATCTAGGACTTACACTGCCAAAGTACTTATCCAGAAGCTCTACGAAGCGGTGGATGACTTCAAGTGTGATCAGCTCGTTGTCCTGCTCTTCAATTGCACAACAGAAGTACAGGCTGGCGTACCTGTATGACAACACAAAGAACACGGAAACAACCCATATCAAAAATAACATCTTGCAGTTCATTTTAGTTTGATAAAGTTAGTCATCATTTCTTTATATATCCCCAAGAACTTTCCAGAACTATGAAATGTATCTACATAATTTTTCATTTGACCCCAATCAAATGCCTTAAGTTGCTCAAACAGAACCATAAAAGCATGAATCATGCTTTAGTTTAAGTGGATAACATAACTTGTGTTATCAGACTACCTCAACTGGTTCCTCGAGTTCTTTGAGCATCAACGGAACCTCTCCACTGTTTTGTAGCTCATTTAGTAAAGTATGGTCCTATTTAGAATAAAATAGATGGTAAAGCAGGGTATGCTTTAGGGCGGGGCTACTTTGTGATTGACAGGTCGCTACCTTTCAACTTTCACAGTGTGTTTTCAGTTCATGAAAGTAAATTGTTACATTTTTGACAGCCTTAAACTGTCTTTTTAAGCATTCGGTTGTACTTCGCTCCATCCTCTCGTGTCACTTCTGTTTGGAACAAACCAAAAGGACGGCGGCCAAAAAACCACAATGGCAACGGACAAAAATGTAAACGGCAAAGGACAAACACCAAGAATAAGAAGGACAAAACTCAAGATGGCGACGGCCAAAATGCGGAACTGGAGACTTGAAAACTGCAGTCCACAAACCAAAGGGTGACATCACGGTGACCGCGTCCACTTCTTACATACAGTCTTTGGTCCATGAACTACCATTTGAATGTTATGCTAAATGTTTGGGGAGCTCTGATAGATAGACTAGTAGTTCATTCTCAGCCAAAGGACAACAGGACAAGCTTGAAATCATTTTCCAGGCCAAAATAAGACTTTCCATGACATTTTACTCTTGCTCTCAGTTTCATGTGTTTTCAAAGACTGGAAAATCGACCGACTGTGGAACCAAGAGCATGATTACTAACTCATATTCCCACGGTGATGTTTACACTAAATATCTGTTGACATTTTGTCCACCTGTACTTCTGTTTTATTTTCACACCACAAACAAAAACAGCTTTATTTGGTATTTGGAGCCCAGGGAGACTTCCTCACATGGCTTGTTTTGTCCAACAAACAGTCTAAAACCCAATAAGCTTCGGTTTACTACAATGGAAGATTTTCACATTCAAGAACCGGAAACTTAAAGTAATGATCAAAATAGCTGCCGATTATATTTCTGTTGATCGATTAGTGGACTAATTGTTGCAGCTATTCTCTCAACTCACATCTTCCTCGTTGGCAAGAACCGATGTTTATAATCTAGCGGAGTCCAGATTTGACACATTTCATTTCTTTAAATGCCAGGCTTACAAAGAAAAGGGTTAACAGGAGGATTGTGATGAACAGCAGAGCTGCAGTGTTCCCTCAATCCTTCCCCACTGCAGGAAATCCCTCTATGCTAAACTCACCACCCCCCCCCCCGCCCACGCACAGGCACAGGCTGCTCTGTATTCTGCTGGCAGTAATGAGCTCTGACACACACTGATCGGAGAGCAAGTGTGTGTGTAGAATGCTGGGTTTCACCCTTTCCACCCACCTAAAATCTACTGCAGCTCAGCCCACATACAAACAGACATGAACTTCTATTGGTCTGTGGGAGGTGAACTCCAGAGTGGACACACTAAAACCAGACTATCTGCAGCTTTCCTTAAGACACGTTTTAGTATTCTTACTGCTACACAGAAATTAATTCATCACTGATGTCAAATCAGTGCTAAAATCAAACTCTAAATAAAGGTACATACCAAAATGTTTGTCTTGCGATACCTGCCTCACTATCTCGATACCAATACCACTGGAAAACCCTAAAACACCAGGAAAAGTGCATTACAGTCATTTAGCAGACTCTTATCCAAAGCGACTTCAGATTCTATCACAATTCACCGTAGGCACGGCTACGGGAGAGATTTTGGGGTTAAGTGTCTTGCTTATGGACACATCGACATGTGACTAGCAGAGCCGGAGCCAGGTATCGAACCGCCGATCCTCTGATTGAAGGACGGCCCTGCTCTCCACTTAGCCAGTTGCCCATGTAATGGCATTATAGGTGAGAGAAAATGGAACTTAACATTTTTGATCTTTGCTTTATATTAATTAAAACAACAAGAGTGAATTTGGCACCATCGTGTGTTCAGACCATAGCCGGTATGTAAGAAGTGGACGTAGTCATTGTGACTTCACTCATTGCTTTGTGGACTGCCGTTTTGAAGCCTCGAGTTTGGCTATTTTGCCGTCGCCATCTTGGAATACAGCCAACGCCATCTTGGGTTTTTTGCAACCGATGAATGGAAGTTAACATATTTGCAATGCATATAAGTGACGGTAGTGACGCTGTATACGGCTCTGGTAGCGGCAGCGACCTGTCAATCACAGTAAGCCCGCCCTAAAGTATCCCCTGCTTTGTAGTCTATTGACTCTAAATGGACCATAATGTACTAAATGAACATCATGCTGTATTGAAGAAGACTTGAAACTAGAGATTGAGAGCATAAACTCATGTTTACAATGTTTACTGAGGTAATAAATCAAGAGAGAAGTAGTCATTTCCTAATAGACTTCTATACAACCAGAGGAGTCGCCCCCTGCCTCTTAGGCCAAATACTCTGACCGAATTTAAGTTCCCCTTGGTAAGCAGCGCCGCAGTGTAGATGTCTAGGGCTTTTATTGTGAAAGGTAACCGAGAGAGTGAAGCTGTAATTTGCCACCGTTGCCCTTGATAATAAAGTATTTGCCGTCATGGTTCAGTCAACTCTGTTATTATTGTATTAACTCTTAAGTCTTTTGTCATATTTGATAGTAAATCTATCAATATATGGGTTTTGAACCGCTAACAAACTAATCAAATATGTCAGCTTGGGCTCTGGGAGATGTAGAACGACCGGTTTTCACTTTTTCCTGGATAAAAAAAATTACTCAAGAAAACAACTGGCAGCTTATTTCATAATGAAAATAAATTGTACCCCTAATAATGAATTAGGGGTACAATTTATTAGCCAATAAATCATCAATATTCAATATCACCCTCTCTTCCTGTTGTCTTATTTTCATATTGTATTTTGGCTAAATACATATAGTTTCACGGTTCTTTGTCATCCGTGTCATTTATTAACTGTTTAATTATTTGGGGCTTATTGGCTTAATAGTGAATAAAAATCATTCAATGATCAAAACATATGTTTGGTGTACTTTACGGATATATATATTTATTAGTGCTGGGCATTAGCCCACGCATTTTTTAAATTTATTATAATTTTTTTTTTTTATTGAAAGACAAGAGACAATAAATATACATAACAACAAGAGGATGACAAGAACAGTGGGATAAAAGCCAGCAAACATCCTATAGTCAGTTGTGTATGTGTGTAAAATGATAATAATAATTAAAAACAACAACAACAAAAAAAAAACAGGTAAGTATTTTTAATGTATTATTATTGTAACAGACTGTCTCATGTTTATCGTTTTGTATTGGAGATATGATGTCCCTTCAGGGTTGCCGTAGAGAAAAGGCGACTTCCGCTTGTGGTCGAGGGGAGGCAGAAATAAAGAGATAAGCTGCACCAGCTGTTGCTCTCCCTGGAGACTACTGGACATCGCTGCGGTAAA